TTCTGCTGCCTGTTGCAAAGCGCACGGCAAAAACGCCCAAAAACGGTAAAACAGCTGCTAAAATCCGTAAAACCAGCTTTCTGTAGTAAAACAGGTGCTACTTGAGCCCCTAAAGGCGAAAGACCTCTCGCCCCCTCTCCCCGACCCGCCAACGAGTATCCATCCCAGAACAGCCGCGAAATCGCCTTTCCAATCCAATTACTGTTCCGGGAAGTGGGCCCCGTGGCTGTTCCGAAATGTGGATTACGCGACTGTTCTTGGGAGGCGGGTGCCATGGCTGTTCTAAGGGAGGCACCGCTGTTTTTGTCCTGCACAAAACACTACGGTGTCCCTCTCCCAGAACAATCGCAGATGACGCCTTCCCCTTCCCCCCTTCCCTTAACATCTGCATATGCCAAGCACAAACGAGGACCGAAAAAACACCGACCCTCCCCCTCCCCCCTCGCCCCGGAATACCGAGGATAACCATAGCTACACACGAACCAAAGAAACACGGCAGTGAACAGAATCTGACCGCCCAGCGGGGGGTTGTGCACCATAGTATACCGCATGGTACCGTACTTACAGGATACCGCTTTGTAATTATACGGTATATTGCAGCCCAATATCACCGCTTCGAAAAGATGCATGTCTAAGGAGGGGGGGAGGGGCGGCGGAAACAGGGGGTGGAGGGGGTGGGGCAGGGGAAGAGAAATTTGGTGGGGTACTTCAAAGTTTGATGCAGAAGCGCATTATTGCACCGGTTCGCTTGGTACTTTCCAACCTGGGTGCGCCTGGTGCGTTCCAGCCTTATTTGGACCATATTTATCACGTTCCAGTAAACGCCAGCAGGGCTTCCAGCATCGCTATTTCTTTTTGAAGTTTTATTTTCATGGGCGTTTTCGTTGCAATAAATTGACCCCCTCGCCTTCCCCTTATTGCCTTCGATTATTCATACGAAAGTCCTTGTGGCTGCATGAAATGAAAATTTTCAGCACGAGAAAATCAGGTTTTGGAGGGACACTCGTCTGCAATCTATGTACTGGATCTGGAACAAGAACAGTGGTCCTTGACTGTGTCTGATAATGTGCTTATCCCAACTCCACGAGACAAAATGACTGGATGGACACACAAAAACAGGTTTGCGCAGCACAACATATTTCTCAAGTCAAACTTATTTTAGCACATCCGCTAAAACGGCATTCGAGAACGAGGTGCGGTTCTGTGCTCGCCGTTATTTTCTGTCTTTTACCGTTCATTTTTCATCCTTTCACCGCTAAAACAGTTATGACGGTGTACAAAATATGGTAAAGTAAGACTGTCGAAACTAGCGCATATGAAGAAAAAGATTTATCAGTGCATTGTGTACAAAGAGTGTTAATAAAAAGATATATTGAAAAAAGAGGGAGAAACGAGGCGGAAATTCTGAAATAAGAATTAAAAAATTAGTAAAATTAGTGAAATTATTTTAATAACATTATTAGGAATCATGTGCAAAGTCTCTGTTTGATATTTCCAAAGACCGTATGTCATTGAGATGCGTTGATATGGATATAGGGTTCTGGTTTTAAAAGTTGTTATGCATTCCTGGGGTTGTTGTACTTTACTCTCTCATCTTATTGTT